GTTTATTCATAAAGCTCCAAATCGTCTGAAGGGACTTCACAGCTTAGCATTCCAGTAGAGGATGAATGAATGAATGAATGAATGAATGAATGAATGGCTGACTGACTGACTGACTGACTGACTGACTGACTGACTGAACGAACGAACAAGTGAATGAATGAATGAATGAATGGTCCAGATAGGTGCTATAGGTTATTTATCATTACTTATGAACGAGTGATCGCTCAGGTTCTAATATTTCATTATTTATAAAAATCTAAAAAACATTTTAACGTTATCATTATGGGATGTTGGGCTAGACTCTAGAGGACAAATGATTTTAAGTCATGTTGGAAAAAAGCTTGAACATGTGACCAAGTGATGCTCTCTGATTGGCCCAAGTGTCTCATAAACCCACCCACTTATCTGTGTGTGTGTGTGTGTGTGTGTGTGTGTGTGTGTGTGTGTGTGTGTGTGTGTGTGTGTGTGTGTGTGTGTGTGTGTGTGTGTGTGTGTGTGTGTGTATGTGTGTCCCAGACATCCAGGAGTTTTATGAAGTCACGGTGTGTGAGAACCAGACAGCGAACCGACCACATACACCTGCACAGGTATGATCACACACACACACACACACACACACACACACACACACACACACACACACACACACACACACACACACACACACACACACACACACAGAGAGAGAGACATACACACACACGCACGCACACACACACACACACACACACACACACACACACACACACACACACACACACACACGCATGCATGCATATACACACAGCAACACCCGTCTCTGTTACCTAGCAACAGCTGCAGCAGCGTCACAGCATCACCGGGGCAACAGCTGTATAACACCATGGCAACAGGAGCCCAACCCCCACCCTATCCTCTCTCTCCGTCACTCTGAGTGAATGTCTCTTGACCTCCTCCTGCTCTACTCAAGGAGGTGCCCCCCCCATCGCCAGCACCGTGGTGCTCCTCTTCATCACCCCTCCTCCTCCTCCTCCTCTCGAAGCCGACAGACGGAGGGACAGAAGTGTCGAGAGAGCATCGACACAGAGAGAGAGGGAGGGAGAGAATGGGAGAACAAGTATGAGTGTGTGAGGGTGTGTGTGTGTAGAAATGTGCGTGTGTGTGTGTAAGTGTGTGTGAGTGTGTGTGGGGGGGATATGGACTGCCTCTGTATTGTCACCACCAAGGTAGGAGCTGAGTGCCTCATGTAGCCGCCAACACACACACACACACACACACACACACACACACACACACACACACACACACGCATACATGTATATATATACTTGTGAGGACACTGACCCTACCTATCTTTGTGAGGACATCCACTTCCTGCATAGCTGTAGTGTTGGGCCATGAAAATCTGACACTAGATGTGAGTGAAGAGTCAGAATCTCACTTCAAATTGTTGAAAAATCAAAGTAAAAAAAATATTTATTTGGTGTACTTGTGAGGACCCACAACCGTTGCTAGGCAGATTAGGTGATGTCCTCACAATTCTGTATTTCCTCCCTAACCAATTTTTGATTAAATTTCCACATGAAAAATTAAAAATTCTTAAACTTTCAAAGCAATTTTAACTAATCAAACTGTTTTTACAAATATGTAACACTTGTTTATTATCAAATTGGCAATAGCAAAGTAAAATTTTAACATCTTGAATCACAGAGAAGCTTTTAATGTTTGCCTATAAAATACTCTATCAGTTTAAAATTTTTGTTTAGTTTTTCTTAAGAAAAAATAAAATATATTAGCTTAATTATTTTCTTGTTTGAGTGTGTAAGTTGCTAGATTTTCTTTATACTTTCAAAATGTTTTGCTTCTAATCCAAAGAGCTTTGTAATATTAAAGTGGAATGAGTGGAGCATCAAGCCCAAGTATTGTAGTGTGATTTTGGAGCTTATCCCTCTCCTTATTCTGGTCAGAATTGACAAAGCTCCTCAAATAAGAAGTGAAACATATTCAAATAACCAAAACAACTCAGTTGCCTCAACCCAAATCTACAAGGAATAACACAAACTGCATTTCGGAGAACCTTCACCAGGATTTAGCTTAAATAATATTAGATAAGGATTTTTTCTGTAATTCCCTATTCCAAGTTGTGCGGTGAAGTCTGAGCAGGTAACAGTTCATCGAGGCACCACACAAATGCTGCAAACTAAAAGGACAGACAATCATCATCATTAGGGATGCACAATCTGCATCAATAAGTTATTTTTAACATATTGGTATTGGTCCGATAAATAAAACTTGGTCAATATTAACAACAAATATTTTTTTTCCATTTTGTTTCCATTTGTTTATCTGTTTCAGATGGTTAGGGGGGTGGTGTGTATTTGTTTAGCCATGTGACAGTTATTTTAATATTCTCATAAGCGTAAATGTGTGTGGTGTGTGTACATAACAACGTAAATTCAGCTTTAATAATTTTCAATCAGTACAAAATTTGCTTATTTTAGAAGCATGTCAGTATATCTGTATCAGCAAATATCAGCTATCGGCCATAACAGTGATATCATCCATCCATCCATCCATTGTCGTCCGCTTATCCGGGGTTGGGTCGTGGGGGCAGTAGCCTAAACAAAGGAGCCCAGACTTCCCTCTCCCCAGCCACTTGGGCCGGCTCCTCCGGGGGAATCCCAAAGCGTTCCCTGGCCAGCCATGAGACATAGTATCTCCAGCGTGTCCTGGGTCTTCCTTTAGGCCTTCTCCCGGTTGGACGTGCCCGGAAAACCTCACCAGGGAGGCGTCCAGGAAGCATCCTAACCAGAAGCCCTAGCCACCTCAACTGGCTCCACTCGATGTGGAGGAGCAGCGGGTCTCTAAGGGAGAGCCCAGCCACCCTGCGGAGAAAACTATTTTTGGCCATTTGTATCTGCAATCTCGTTCTTTCAGTCACTACCCTAAACTCATGACCATAGGTGAGGGTAGGAACATAGATCGACCGGTAAATCGAGAGCTTTGCCTTCTGGCTCAGCTCTCTCTTCACCACGACAGATCGGTACAACGTCTGCAGTACTGCAGAAGCAGTGATATTAATATCAAATATTGGTATCGGCTCATCGACTAATAAACATAGAATGATTTTGGATGGTGAAAGGTATCAAATTATCCTGGAGGAACCCAGACATACATAGGAAAAATATGCAACCACCATAAAGACTAAGCTGGATTCAAACTGCATTCAGCCGTGCAGCTCCCTGTAAATCTTAGTTACAGAACATAAATAACAGGAAACATGACAGAAATTACTACAAAGTAGTTATTTTATTGAAGTAAAAAGGATTTCATTAAACTTTGCAATTGTGACTGCAACAGTTGAACTAAAATAAACTTTAGGCACCTTTAAACATTACATACATACAGGCCCTTCTCAAAAAATTAGCATGTTGTGATAAAGTTCATTATTGTCTGTAATGTTCTCATAAATATTATACTTTCATATTTATTAGATTCATTACACACAACTGAAGTAGCTCAAGCCTTTTATTGTTTCTAATATTGATGATTTTGGCATACAGCTCATGAAAACCCAAAATTCCTATCTCAAAAAATTAGCATATTTCATCCGACCAATAAAAGAAAAGTGTTTTTAATACAAAAAAGTCAACCTTCAAATAATTATGTTCAGTTATGCATTCGATACTTGGTCGGGAATTATTTTGCAGAAATGACTGCTTCAGTGCGACGTGGCATGGAGGCAATCAGCCTGTGGCACTGCTGAGGTGTTATGGAGGCACAGGATGCGTCGATAGCGGCCTTAAGCTCATCCAGAGTGTTGGGTCTTGCGCCTCTCAACTTTTTCTTCACAATATCCCACAGATTCTCTCTGGGGTTCAGGTCAGGAGAGTTGGCAGGCCAGTTGAGCACAGTAATACCATGGTCAGTAAACCATTTACCAGTGGTTTTGGCACTGTGAGCAGGTGCCAGGTCGTGCTGAAAAATGAAATCTTCATCTCCATAAAGCTTTTCAGCAGATGGAAGCATGAAGTGCTCCAAAATCTCCTGATAGCTAGCTGCATTGACCCTGCCCTTGATAAAACACAGTGGACCAACACCAGCAGCTGACATGGCACCCCAGACCATCACTGACTGTGGGTACTTGACACTGGACTTCAGGCATTTTGGCATTTTCCTCTGCCGAGTCTTCCTCCAGACTCTGGCACCGTGATTTCCGAATGACATGCAAAATTTGCTTTCATCCAAAAAAAGTACTTTGGACCACTGAGCAACAGTCCAGTGCTGCTTCTCTGTAGCCCAGGTCAAGCGCTTCTGCCGCTGTTTCTGGTTCAAAAGTGGCTTGACCTGGGGAATGTGGCACCTGTAGCCCATTTCCTGCACACGCCTGTACACAGTGGCTCTGGATGTTTCTACTCCAGACTCAGTCCACTGCTTCCACAGGTCCCCCAAGTTCTGGAATCGGTCCTTCTCCACAATCTTCCTCAGGGTCTGGTCACCTCTTCTCATTGTGCAGCGTTTTCTGTCACACTTTGTCCTTCCCACAGACTTCTCACTGAGGTGCCTTGATACAGCACTCTAGGAACAGCATATTCGTTCAGAAATGTCTTTCTGTGTCTAACTCTCTTGCTTGAGGGTGTCAATGATGGCCTTCTGGACAGCAGTCAGGTCGGCAGTCTTACCCATGATTACGGTTTTGAGTAATGAACCAGGCTGCGAGTTTTAAAAAGCCTCAGAAATCTTTTGCAGGAGTTTAGAGTTAATTAGTTGATTCAGATGATTAGGTTAATAGCTCGTTTAGAGAACCTTTTCATGATATGCAAATTTTTTGAGATAGGAATTTTGGGTTTTCATGAGCTGTATGCCAAAATCATCAATATTAGAAACAATAAAATGCTTGAACTACTTCAGTTGTGTGTAATGAATCTAATATATATGAATGTCTAATGTTTATCAGTACATTACAGAAAATAATGAACTTAATCACAATATGCTAATTTTTTGAGAAGGACCTGTATATGAACTCAGCTCCTGTTTCTTTTAAAATTGAATATGTTTACTTTTTTCTTTTTTGAGCTAAAATGCAGTTATACATGCAGTTTTTAAAATCTTTCTAATTCATCTGCTGATAAAATATAAATTTTAGATACCAAATAAAGTAAACACGGTGCATAAAATTACATAAATGAACTCAGATCCTTCTGCTTTGAAAAAGAAAATTTTCAAATATTGTTTTTATTTTCTTTTTGAGCTGTGATGCTGCTCTACTAGTAGTTCTGACATATTTCTAACTTCTAATAAATTAATACAACTTTAGGTACCATTAAATGCTCTGCATTTAACATTGCATGCATTAACTCAGCTTCTGCTGCTTTTAAAATAAAACATATCAACTACAGTTTTTTTTCTTTTTTGAGCTGTGATGTAGGCTTGCAGAGATTAACCAGTTTGACTATTAACCCCTGATAACCCCCCTTAAAGATGTCTACCACACCAACAATAAAAAAAGGACTATGGCATGACCCTCATGGACAAAGACAAAAGTGAAACTGAACGTGCTCACGCAGCAGAAGCAGAACCAGTGACAACAACCTTCGGGACTCCTCCATTTCCACCTAAGAAGCGGTTGAAGTCTCCTGTGTGGGATGATATCTAATATATCTAAACTATTCCCACACAGGAGAATTCAACCTCTTCCGAGGTAGAAATGGAGGAGTCCCGATGGTTGTTTTCACTGATCATGCTTCTGCTGCGGGCGCGTGTTCAGTTTCAGTTTTGTTTTTGTACTTACGAGTTACGCTATTGTCTTTTTGTTTTAGTTTGATGGTGTTGAAGATCTATTTACTTGGGGTTAACCAGGGTTAATAGTCAAAACGATTAATCCCTGCAATGCTACTGTGATGCTGTTCTACTTATAGTTTTTAACATCTTTCCAACATGTAATAAAATTTAAATATCTTTAGGTACCATAAAATGCTCTGCTTGTAACATTTTTGATCTGCAATGCTGTTATAATTATAGTTTTTAACATATTTCCAATGTCTCATAAAATAAAAATAACTAGGTATCATTAAATGCTCTGCTTGTAACATTACATGCATTAACTCAGCTCCTGCTGCTTTTAACGCAAAAACTACAGCCTTTTTCTTTTTTGCTCAGGGATGTGGTTATAGATGCAGTTTTTTACATCTTTCCAACTTCTGTTCTAAAGTGCTGTCTCTGTACTGAGTGCTTTCACACACAGCATTTTACCAGGAACTCTTTCAAGAGTGATGTACCGACCAAGCTGTTGCCAAACCGATTCTTTCCCAGATTTGCTCCAAATCTTTCGGTTGAATTTCTTAGAGGTTAAATCCTGTTGATCCATGTCTGTAACAAAAAAAAAAAAAAAAAAAAGAAACATGCTTTTATTAGTTAAAGTCATGACATCATGTTTAGGTTGTGTTTTCAATTCTGACTGTTTGGATTAGGGATGAGCCGGATACTCGTTTCAGAAGAGTATCCGGTACGGATAAAGCATTTTTGACAAGTGAAACGAGTAAAAATCGTAAATATCTGTAATCGTGCTGAAGGAAAATCCTCATTGGGTAACTGACTGTCTTCACGCTCTGTGATTGGCCAGTCAAATAGAGCACCCGCCCCTCCCTACACACAAAACTCAGCAGCCGGGAGCTCACAGCTCAGTCCGTGTCCGGTCCATCCAGAAAACTCCAAATCTTGCAAAAATTCATCTTGCAGTGCAAGGTTACAGACTTGGATCAGTGGGAAAACCCCTTTTCTAACCAGCCCAGTCAATTTCCTAAGATGGCAATATTTGGTTAGCTTTAGCTAGCATTTCATATTAAAAAGTGATGAAAAATACTCTGTAAGGATCCTATTTTTTGGTGACCTCAATAATCACAGCCTGAAAATGAAATAACAGGAAGGAATACAGGAGTTATTTTAGACCGGGGACTACATTACGACAACAAACTGCTGCATGGCGCTGCTGCAATGCACAAGAACATCACGCAGCAACCCCAAAAAGACACCTACATTTATAAACACAAATACATAGCTACTGGGCTTATATCTGGGCTTAGATTCCAGTTCCTGAAGGACCTTGGTTCAGCGTGGTTGGACCTACAGAAATATTTGAAATTAAATTACTTACTACAAGTTTTTCAAACGTCTGTAACCCCCAAATTCCACTACCTCCGCTCCGCTCCGCTGCGGTCCGCCCCCGCCTTCCGCAGCCGCTCGCTTCCGAACTCAATTTTTACCGGTATGCGCTCTACAACGGCTCCGCTCCGGTGCGGAGACCTGAGGTGGGCAAACAAGCATGCGCGGGATTTTCAAGATCTTGCGATACAGTCCGAGCAATAAACGCGGAAGTTAGATCCAAACACCCGTTGTGTTGGAGAAGCATCGGCATGAACTGTTTAATCTGCCCATCATTTGTGTAGAGATCAGCAGTGTTTGGATCAACAAAGTGTGACTACTTTGATAGTGAAAACTGTATTTATGGCTAACTTTTGTGCATTTAAACTTCAGCCGCCACTGATAGTTGTTAAAAGTTGTTAAACCTGTGCATATGAAACAAAAAACGCCTTTTGTTTATCGATTTATTGTGAAAAACGGAAGTTGTGCTTGCTCCTTTTCCTGTTGGGCGATGGTGATTTCTGTCCATTGACTGCGGAGGTGCTCCGGCGTCCGGCGAAAATAGGATCGATTCTATTTTTGCCGGACGCCGGAACAGAGGACGGCGCACGGCGCCGCACTGCCGGAGCACAGCCGCAGTAGTGGAATTGGTCTGATTGACTACAACGGGACCGATTTTGCTCCGGCGTTCGTGTCAGAGCGGAGGTAGTGGAATTTGGGGGTTAGACAATGTTTCCCATCCCAAGCGTGAAGCTGACAACGGAGCTGGAGAGTTCCTTCAGTAGCAGACTTACGCATTCTAGGTGTATGAAGGCATTTTGTCATTAATCCTTCCTTTCTGCAGCTGTTAAACTTTATAACTACCAAGATCACCACAAACCAAGTAAACAGCTTTTTTATCCCTGCTGACTTTTGTTATTTGCACAGTTTCTGTGTTTATTATATAATATTAAATGCACTATCTTGGGCAGGATAACACAGAGCAGTGCTACGCCCTGTTGTCCTGGCGGGGAACTGCTTTACAACACTCCCCAGGAGACTGAGAAGTCCGAAAGCAAAACATCTCTGTCCGTGTGTGTGAATGTGGAAACCACGCACCTGTTTTGTCCTTTCCATTTGACTCCTTAGACCACTCAGCTCCTGAAGGTTCTTGGCTCATCATATCTGGATGATCTACAAAAACATTTTAGATTATATGGCTTAATACAAGTTTTTTTTAGACTCTGAACTGTAGCTAGGAAATGTATCAACAGATCTATAATTGTTGTTGATAAACAGAAAAAGTTTAGCATCTAACTGAAGGAAAACTGAAGTCAAGTATCTTTGTGCCTAAAATGTTAATATGGTAATGATTTGATGAACTTCCATCTTTCTATAAAGGTTTATGTGAACTCAAACATCCCAAATACATTTCTGTATTTATAATAAGGACAACAATGTGAAATTAATGGGAATAAATGGCCTGTATAGGTATAGCGCCTTCGAAGGCCCCCAAGGCGCTTCACAACACAATCTGCTGCTGTTGTTTCCTTGGGCAAGGCACTTAACTCGCTTTGCCTGCTGGTGGTGGTCAGAGGGACCGGTGGCGCCAGTGTTCAGCAGGCCACGACAGCAGCACTCTCTGGTTGGAGCTGGGATCAAACCCGCAACCTTCCGGTTTCTGGACAATCCTCTCTACCTCCTGAGCTACTGCTGCCCCTAAGTAGTTAAGTTGTTCATACTTGTTGTAAAATGTCAAACCTCAGTTTCTTTTTTTAAGGTAATCTCTTTCAGTCTTTTATGGGGAGAATGAATTGCATGTTAGCCATTTTCAGTTACTTAAATATTTGAAAATCTGAACCAAACCTTGAGTAAAACCATGGACAGTGAGCAGGGAAGGGGAATGGGTGGGTGTTCCTTTGTTGGTCTGCTTCTTCTTTGATTTCCCTGTAGGCCTTTGGGTGCACAAGGTGGGTTCATCTAGAGTGATATGAAATTTATGAAAAAAAAATCCACTTAAAGCATTATAAAAAGAAACGGAGGCACACCAATCCAGTAAGCCATTGATCATTGACTGACCTTCAGAACTTTGGTCGAGCCCATTGCTTTTGTTTCTCAGCTTTTATCTTTTGAAAGATGCTGCAAAGAAAAGAAAAATAGATCTAATGTCAAGCTATAGACATAACAGTAATAATTTCCTTAAAGAGCAAGTCACCCCAGAGTATAACTTCACCCACACTTCCCATTTTAAAAATGCAACAAAAGGAGGAGTTGCCAGCTTCCCCATACTCTGATGTTTTCCATCATCTGTGTGTATTTTTAAATCCACTGAGTCATACTGTTTTCGCATTCTGATTCAGGTGTCTCAACCCACAATCATTACTAGGGGTGTAATGGTACGTTGAACTCGTATTCAGTTTAGTTCAATGTTTAATATTCCGTATATTATTATTATTATTATTATATTTATTTATTTAATATCTGAAGTGACTCGTTACAACCGAGGAATGCAGCAAAGCATTTGTGAAGCCACAACACGCACAACCTTGAGGTGGATGGGCTACAGCAGCAGAAGACCCCACGGGGCACCACTCATCTCTACTACAAATAGGAAAAAGAGGCTACAATTTGCACAAGATCACCAAAATATGATGGTTGAAGACTGGAAAAATGTTGCTGGTCTGATGAGTCTGGATTTCTGTTGAGACATTCAAATGGTAGTCAGAATTTGGAGTAACCAGAATGAGAACATGGATCCATCATGCCTTGTTACCACTGTGCAGGCTGGTGGTGGTGGTGTCATGGTGTGGGGGATGTTTTCTTGGTACACTTTAGGCCCCTTAGTGCCCATTGGGCATGGTTTAAATGCCACAGGCTACCTGAGCATTGTTTCTGACCATGTCCATACCTTCATGACCACCATGTACCCATCCTCTGATGGCTACTTCCAGCAGGATAATGCACCATGTCATAAAGCTCCAATCTTTTGAAATTGGTTTCTTGAACATGGCAATGAGTTCACTGTACTACAATGGCCCCCACAGTCAGCAGATCTAAACCCGATAGAGCATCTGTGGGATGTGGTGGAACGGGAGCTTCGTGCCCTGGATGTGCATCCCACACATCTCCATCAACTGCAAGATGCTATCCTATAAATATGAGCAAACATTTCTAAAGAATGCTTTCAGCAACTTGTTGACTCAGTAGCCATGTTTACATGCACCAAATTTCCTCAATCCAATTCAAATCTTGGTTGATCGGAATTTCTGAATCACTGTTCACATGGACACAAACTGAAATGATCTGATCATGCCGTGCTTATAAATGCATCAAGCATTCAATCCGATTAAATAGGTTGAGCATGCGCAGAAAGTTGCCTTTCCCGGAAGAAAAATTGTAAACAAACACCATGAAACGAAATGAAAAATGTAAAAACAGAAATAACAATTCTTCCTGCTTTCCCGATTCATTTATTCACTTCAATATTTTTATTTTGCTCATAGAAGTTACGTTTTCTTCAGTGAATAACTGCAGATCTATGCTTTGCTGCATTTTTATTGTTGATTAAAATAAGGGAGGGTTATGTTTCTGCCTCTTGATCAGCTGGTCCGTGGGTCTGAAGTGACAGATATGCCGTTGCGCTGCACTGTGGCGCAGAGTGGGGATGGGGGCGTTTAGACTCATGTTTTATTACTGAGCTCTGTTGTGGCTTATTATTCTTAACATGTGACAATCAGCTGAAACTGTTGAGAAAAATCAGTTTAAAATAAAACAACAGAAGACGTTCAGAAAGTTTAGAAGCCTGTGTTCATCATTAACGAACCGCATCTCAGGTCATCTGCGTTAATGTGCTTTTAACACGGACTTTACTGTTGTCCAGAATATTTAACCGAGGATGTTTTCCTACCCAACATCAGCCTCCAATCAGGTCTGTAAAACTGATATTATCCTGTCTTCTTTACAAGCGTCTCTGGCGTCTCCATCACCTGCTGCAGAAGTTGCTGCGTTCAAAGCTGACAGAAACGGGGATCTGTGCGCTGCAACCTCCGCAATAAACTTGGGTATTTCCAGTACAGATTTGAAAATGTTTGTCGAGTGATTTGTGCAATAATCAGATTTTTATTTTACTTCTACAAAATGCAAGTTCTGAATTAAATATTACTGAAACGGGACGGCTTGTTATCAAATTTAAAAGCCTCTGCTCATTGATTACGCTGTCATTTTTGAAGTCAGGCAGTCCAAATGACAGCGGAGAGGCCCGCTCGCTGTTGCACACATGCGCAGTGGGCATTATTTTACCCCAACAATCCGAATAGCTGTGTACATGCACGTCAATCAGAATGATGATCGGACAAAACCACCTCCCTCAATCGAATTGAAATTTCAATCCGATCGGGCCAAATCGGATCAGAATATTTGATTGACATGTTTACGTGCAGAATTTTTTATCTGATTGGGCGTTCAATCTGATGAAATATGCGCATGTAAATGTGGCTACTGCCACGTCGAATTAAGACGGTTCTGAAGGCAAAAGGGGGTCAAACACCGTATTAGTATGGTGTTCCTAATAATCCTTTAGGAAGAATAGAATAGAATACACTTTATTGATCCCACAGTGGGGAAATTCACTTGTTACAGCAGCACCAACACTTAAGGGGATAATCAGAAGAAAATTATGATATAGGTACATGTATATACACATAGGCAGTAATCTAGTAATGTAACCTTCGACCACTAAAAAAACACGAATAAAAATGAAAAAAACTTGGGTTCCAACACTATGCAGCATGCTGTGACAACCTGGGCCGCATTCCGCTTGGCCTGCCGGTACCCATCAGCTGCCTCTGGAGTCCCACAGGCCAAACAGACCCTATAGGACTCTTTATCTTCAGCTTGACGGCATCCCTAACCGTTGGTGTCCACCAGTGGGTTTGGGGGTTGCCACCACGACAGACACCAACAACCCTGCGGCCGTAGCTCCGGTCAGCCACCTCGACAATGAAAGCACGGAACATGGCTCACTCGGACTCCATGTCCCCCGCCTCCCCCAGAACATTTTGGAAGTTCTGTCCGAGGTGAGAATTTAAACTTCTTCTGACAGGAGACTCTGCCAGACGTTCCCAGAAGACCCTCACAATACCTTTGGGCCTGCCAGGTCTGACCGGCATCTTCCCCCACCATCAAAGCCAACTCACCACCAGGTAGTGGTCAGTTGACAGCTCCGCCTCTCTCTTTACCCGAGTGTCCAAGACATGCGGTTGCAGATTAGATGAAATGTCAACAAAGTCGATCATCGAGCTGCGGCCTAAGGTATCCTGGTGCCAAGAGCACATATGGACACCTTTATGTCTGAAAATTGTGTTAGTTATAGACAAGCCATGACGAGCACAGATATCCAACAACAAACACCACTCAAATTCAGATCAGGGGGGCCGTTCCTCCCCACCACACCTCTCCAGGTCTCACTGTCGTTGCCCACGTGAGCGTTAAAGTCCCCCAGCGGAATGAGGGAGTCACCAGAAGGAGTGCTTTCCAGCACCTCCTCCAAGGACTCCAAAAAGGGTGGGTAGTCTGAACTGTAGTTTGGTGCATAAGCACAGACAACAGTCAGAACCCGTCCCCCCACACGTAGGCAGAGGGAGGCTACCCTCTCGTCCACCAAGGTAAACCCCAATGTACAGGCAACAAGATGGGGGGCAACTAGTATGCCCACCCCGCTCGGCGCCTCTCAGTGGGGGCAACTCCAGAGTGGTAGAGTGTCCAGCCCCTCTCAAGGAATCTGGTTCCAGAGCCAGACCCATGTATTGATGTGAGTCCGACTATATCTAGTCGAGGTGACATTCCACGTACCGAGAGCCAGCTTCTGTAGCCAAGGATCAGACCGCATCTGAGCCTTCGGCTTCCACCCATCACACATTGCACCTGACCCCTTTGGCTCTTCCCACAAGTGGTGAGCCCATTGGAAGGGGGACCCACCTTTTCTCTTTGGGCTGTGCCCGGCCGGGCTGGGTGAAAGCCCAGCCACTAGGCGCTCGCCGACGTGCCCCACCTCCAGACCTGGCTCCAGAGTGGGGCCCCGGTGACCCACATCCGGGTGAGTGAACACTGTGTCAATTTATATTATTCATCATAATGGGTCATTGGGCTGCTTTTTGTCTGATCCCTCACCTAGGACCTGTTTGCCATGAGTGACCCTACCAGAGGCATAAGCCTCAGACAATATAGCTCCTAGGATCATTGGGACACACAAACCCTCTCACCGCGGTAAGGTGGCAACCCAGGGAGGAGCGTCTGGCGCAATTACATGTGAAAACTCTCTCGGGATGTAATGGGCTGGAGACCAACAGCCAGTAACTCAATGTCATTTGTGCAGAGTTTATTTTTAATGGTCACATACGCTGGGTTGCACCATTTCTCATTATTAAACACAACCAGACCCCCACTCTTGCGCTTCACACTCCACGCTCCTGTCGGCCCACGTGAGTTTAAATTCTCCCAGTGAAACCTCAGTCAGCTTTGAGCTCATCCGTCCACGTTTCCTTAAAAAATAACAGACTACACTGTCTGTAGTCTTGCTGCAACCTGGTCAGTGCTGTGAGCTTGTCCATCTTATTGAGAAGAGAACGGACATTTCCCATAATCACGGAGGGAAAGGGTGAGTGTAGGTTTCCGACAGAGAACCCAGCTTGTTGACTGGTGGACTGTCTTAGGCTGAATTTTTAAACTCTAAATAAGATGCACTAAAAAGCCATAATAATGACCACACATTTCTACAGCACTATTAGACACTCATTGATACAGTTTATCAGCAAAAAATAAGTTGATTTGGGGGTGACTTGCTCTTTAAGTGATGTCTGCCAATATAGTTAGTGGATAGACCAGGAGTCACAACAACTCATACAATCACGTGAATGTGGAAGTCACTCACCTGTTTTCTCTTTCTCATTGAAATCCTCTGGAATCCCAGCTCCTGAGGGGCATTGGCTCTGCATGTCTGGAAAGATGTCAGATTAGATGATTTAACACAAGTTTATCAATAATTTGAACTATGGCTATGACTATTTAGCAGAGTTATTAATAAAGTTAGCAAAGTTTGAAATATGAAGGGCAGTCTAAGGCACTCCTTTACATTATTCAAGCTGTCTAATCAGCCCCTTGATTTGCCACACCTTTGAGGTGGGATGGATTATCTTGGTAAAGAAAAAGTGCTCGAGAACACACATGTAGACAGATTTCAGAATAATATTTGAGGGTCATGGGTGTTTGGTGTATGTAGAAAAAGTTTCAACTGTTTGAGTTCAGCTCATGAAAAATGGGAGCAAAGACAAAAGTGTTGCGTTTATATTTTTGTTCAGTGTAGATAACCAATCTAGCAAAAAAGCCATGTTTGGTGTGTTACAGCTGGCCGTAAGAACTGGTTCTCTTAAAAGATCCAGGGTTCCCATCACTAGTTAAAAGCGTCCGGCATCCGGCCCAAAATGGGTCAATCCAATTGTGTGTCAGCACTTTGCTGTAGGGTGGGAGTTCGTTTTGACGATCGTATCAAGAGCCCTATCCTGGCAGCAGCCAGCTAGTGCCAGCCGGGCACTACCTTGCGCGTCCTTCAGTCAGTTCAAAATATTCTACCACACAGCCCTCCCTCTTTCAGCCGGTTTCTGCTGCAGAGAGTCTAGATCTAAATGTGTAGACTCTACACGAGGCTACACATAGAGATCTGGCTGCTGCTAGGTTAGGGTCTTACAGCTCGGCTCACTAAAATGAACCGGCTCTTTCGGCTCTTAAACAGCTCCTCATATTTTTCGTTTCCTAAATGAATTTATCACCAGAAATTATATAAAACTGTATGTAAACTGAATTACTAATCTACAATATACATTTTATCAAGTGTTTATTGTTTAAATAACTTATTTTATTCAACATGAAGCAGAGAGCTACATAAACACATTTTAAATGACAAAAACAAACTCTGCAAGTAAAATTTGTATTAGTTTTGAACTATTATAGCCTTTTGGATATATTTACCCTTTGCACAATCTACACTCTGTCTTTTAATTGTCACTGTAGTTAAAATTTGTCCAAACCTTGGTGCCTGTCCTGTTTTCACTCATGTCCTCACCTTTCTGAAGCTTTGTTTGATTTTCCTTTCTCCTCTTACAGATTTGTCCCCACCAATATTTACAGGTCTTATCAGTTAATGTAATTTGTCTCACAGGCATTTTGTGCATGCCACCCCTCTCCCTGCCTTCACAGCATCGGAGCTCAGTGAAGCTGATCTCCCCCACTTGAAAAGTAAAAGCAAATAGGTTTGTGCCACTGTCGCCCCAATTTTAACTGCACAAACGAAGAACTAAAATGTAGACTATTTTGGAATGTTTTGGAGCATCACACAACAATAAAACTTGTTATATCTCAGAAACCATAGCAACACAAATTATATTTCAACAGCACAAACCAGCACAAACATAGCACTAAAAAGTAGACTACTTTGAACTGTTTTGGTGCAGTCTGGGTTAGGGTTAAGAATAACCTATAAAATAAAGTGTAATATCTCAGAAACTAACCGCACAGCCTATTTGCTTTTACTGGAGGTCAGCTTCACTGAGGCCCGCTGCACATGTGCGCTCAAGTTTTGCTGTGTTCTAGTGGCTCCAGGGTCTGCGGGTACAGTCTATGTAACTCACTTTGACTTCTCCAAGAGGGAGCCAGTTCCTGCAGAAGGGACCTTTCTCCTAACGATCACATAAACAAGTCGGCTCTGAGAGCCGTTTCGTTCGTGGCCAACACGTCACTAGTGGGTTTTTTTAAATGTCAAAAACTGATTATTGTATCCACATTGCCTATGAAAGATTAGATTTCCCAACAAAATAATATTTCTCTCTTTTTAGATTTCATTGTACACCTTCCATCACACTGAATCCTTTTTATAATGTTAATGAACCCTATCACAAAATAGAATAACACTGCTCTGGTTGAAATGTACAGCATTATTAATGTTACATAAGACAAAACCATGTCCCTGATACAAAATTACTGAAAACTACACTTTGAGTCCTCACAAATACAGCTCACTTCAGGCCCCGTAGCTTTACCATGCAGACAGCCACTTTGTTTTAATTTAAAAATAAGTTTTAAAAATGTAAGTAGGTAAAGCGTGTCTTTATTTCTTTAAACATACCTTAAAGTTGAAAGAAAACAATAGTCTCTGATAGAAAATTACCTAAAACTCACAAGCACAGCTCAATTCAGTTCAAATTGTTTTAGCATGATAAGAGCTGTAATTGTCTTATTAAAAAAAGTGTAAATGATTTCATGGAATATTTTAAATTATATGTTACCTTTTTGGGCTGTGGAGTTATTCCTCTTTTCCTCTGTAGAATTAGTCAAAGACTGACAAAGTTGGAGAGATCCAGGGCAGCTCCGGTACTTTCCATCTACATTGCACATGCTGCTTTCACGAACAATGAGACTGCAAACTTGATACATTAAAAATTTAGGGTTTTCCAGCTGATAATGTCTTAACAGACTTCAGGCATGAGCTAATTTCATGTGCAATATTTAAGCAATAATCATTTTACAGAAAACTCATAGCATTCACAAATAAACCTCTTTAGATGTTTTTATTTCAGTATAGTTGGACACACCAATTTTCCCTGAATGCATCATGAACTTTTGCTCCCCTGTCCAGTGCAGGTGCAGAGCCACTCCCCACCCCCACTCCCAAAAAAGTCTGTTTCTGCTGAAAACTAAAATCACACTTGACCATGTGAGTCTCATATGTATATATTAGATATTTATTAATAAATATATGAGCATATATTTCAACAGCTTACACACACATACATACATACACACACATTATATATATAATATTTATCCTGTTCATTTAATTTATTTTTTATGTATTGGGGCTCAACCAATGAATCAACTGTGATGGTGCAGAGAACAAGAACGTTCATACCTACAAACTCTGAAGGGGTGAAAACTGTGACAAATAAAATCAACCCCTGTAAATGGTCCTTGCATGCTGCAGATGTACATCAGTAAGTTTTATAGTGGCCTGGGGTGTCATTTATAAAGCTTGCTTACCCACAAAATGGGGTTGCAAAACTGCAAAAGTAACTTGCCATTCAAACTTTGGGATTTATAAAAGAAAAAGTAGTGGGAAAATGTGGGCAACTTTGAGTTGACCTAAGGAGCTGGCTTACGCACATTTTGGACATGGAGAGTTTTTGGATTTTGGACAATGTTAAAAGTATAGGAGCTTTTTTGGGGACATTTGAGGGGGCTCTTTAGACTAAGAATGACATATCAGAATGCAGACACTACCGCCTTAAAGGGAGGGTTATGACGATGAAGTGACCTGATTTCTGACCATTTACATCACTCCTGTGACCCACACCGTGACCTCAAAATTAGTGGAAAAGGCCATGTTAAAGTATGGGATCTTTTTGAAGAACATTTGGGGGGGCTTTTTTGCGTATGAATGACATATCAGAATAAAGACATGACCGCCTCGAAGGGAGGGTTATGACGATGAAGTGACCTGATTTAAGACCCTTTACATCCCTCCTGTGACCCACACCTTGACCTCAAAATTAGTGGAAAAGGCAATGTTAAAGTATAGGAGCTTTTTGAAGTACGGGGGTGGGGGAATTTTTTGCGCATGAATGACATATCAGAATGTAGAAATGACCGCCTCAAAGGGAGGGTTATGATGATGAAGTGACCTGATTTAAGACCATTTACATCCCTCCTGTGACCCACACCGTGACCTCAAAATTAGTGGAAAAGGCAATGTTAAAGTATAGGAGCTTTTTGAAGTACGGGGGTGGGGGAATTTTTTGCGCATGAATGACGTATCAGAATGCAGACACTACCGCCTTAAAGGGAGGGTTATGACGATGAAGTGACCTGATTTCTGACCATTTACATCACTCCTGTGACTCACACACTGACCTCAAAATTAGTGGAAAAGGCAATGTTAAAGTATAGGATCTTTTTGAAGAACGTTTGGGGGGGCTTTTTTGCGTATGAATGACATATCAGAATAAAGACATGACCGCCTCGAAGGGAGGGTTATGATGATGAAGTGACTTGATTTAAGACCCTTTACATCATTCCTGTGACCCACACCGTGACCTCAAAACTTGTGGAAAAGGCAATGTTAAAGTATAGGAGCTTTTTGAAGTATGGGGGTGGGGTCTTTTTTGCGCATGAATGACGTATCAGAATGCAGATATGACCGCCTCAAAGGGAGGGTTATGATGATGAAGTGACCTGATTTAAGACCCTTTACATTGCTCCTGTGACCCACACCGTGACCTCAAAATTAGTGGAAAAGGCAATGTTAAAGTATGGGATCTTTTTGATCTCATGACACATCTGCGTGACCATCACCCACAACTCTACAGTAAACGCAAGGCAAGTTAACGTTAGCGTTTTAACTAAAATGCGTGATCCGAGGATTTGGGTTGAGGGAGAATGCAACGAGTTGCTATATAAAGCAGCCGAAACACTGCAACCTGCATGTAAACCGTGTCGCAGACACCCCCATATTGAAATGACGCTATGCATTACGGGGCTCCCAGGGACAGTTAAGAGTTGGTCTCTCTCCGAGAATAATTATGAATTTAACAATGATTACTGCCTGATGACATTTTCCCAAATTTGCAAAGCTCACCGGAAGGACACAAACCGAGGACAATTTTTTCCTGATATTCAGGGTTTATGTAGTTGTCTGAAAATGTAACACGTTTAAAAAAATACCACGATAATACCGAAAACCGTGATAATTTTGGTCACAATAACCGTGAGGTTAAATTTTCACACCGTGACAATGCTAGACATGACCACCTCGAAGGGAGGGTTATGATGATGAATTGACCTGATTTAAGACCCTTTACATCCCTCCTGTGACCCACACCGTGACCTCAAAATTAGTGGAAAAGGCAATGTTAAAGTATGGGATCTTTTTGAAGTACGGGGAAGGGGGAATTTTTTGCGCATGAATGACTATATAAAGCAGCTGCAGCACCGCTACCTGCATGTAAACCGTGTCGCGGACATCCCCATTTTGAAATGACGCTATGCATTACGGGGCTCCCAGGGACAGTTAAGAGTTGGTCTCTCTCCGAGAATAATTATGAATTTAACAATGATTACTGCCTGATGACATTTTCCCAAATTTGCAAAGCTCACCGGAAGGACACAAACCGAGGACAATTTTTTCCTGATATTCAGGGTTTATGTAGTTGTCTGAAAATGTAACACGTTTAAAAAAATACCACGATAATACCGAAAACCGTGATAATTTACGTCACAATAACCGTGAGGTTAAATTTTCACACCGTGACAATGCTAGACATGACCACCTCGAAGGGAGGGTTATGATGATGAAGTGACCTGATTTAAGACCCTTTACATCCCTCCTGTGACCCACACCGTGCCCTCAAAATTAGTGGAAAAGGCAATGTTAAAGTATGGGATCTTTTTGAAGTACGAGGAAGGGGGAATTTTTTGCGCATGAATGACTATATAAAGCAGCTGCAGCACCGCTACCTGCATGTAAACCGTGTCGCGGACATCCCCATTTTGAAATGACGCTATACATTACGGGGCTCCCTGGGACAGTTAAGAGTTGGTCTCTCTCCGAGAATAATTATGAATTTAACAATGATTACTGCCTGATGACATTTTCCCAAATCTGCAAAGCTCACCGGAAGGACACAAACCGAGGACAATTTTTTCCTGATATAGGGTTTATGACTCAAGTAAGGGTAAAAAAAGTATCTGATTAGAAGGCTACTTGAGTACCGAGTATCATCTGATCTAATATTTTTAAAATGATGACATCAAACAGACAAAAAATAAGAAGTTATGGGCAAATATGCTAGAAATGACCGCCTCGAAGGGAGGGTTATGAAGATGAAGTGACTTGATTTAAGACCCTTTACATCCCTCCTGTGACCCACACCGTGACCTCAAAATTAGTGGAAAAGGCAATGTTAAAATATGGGATCTTTTTGAAGAACATTTCGGGGGCTTTTTTTGTGTATGAATGACTTATAAGAATAAAGACATGACCGCCTCGAAGGGAGGGTTATGATGATGAAGTGACCCGATTTAAGACCATTTACATCCCTCCTGTGACCCACACCGTGCCCTCAAAATTAGTGGAAAAGGCAATGTTAAAGTATAGGAGCTTTTTGAAGTACGGGGGTGGGGGAATTTTTTGCGCATGAATGACATATCAGAATGTAGAAATGACCGCCTCAAATGGAGGGTTATGATGATGAAGTGACCTGATTTAAGACCATTTACATCCCTCCTGTGACCCACACCGTGCCCTCAAAATTAGTGGAAAAGGCAATGTTAAAGTATGGGATCTTTTTGAAGTACGAGGAAGGGGGAATTTTTTGCGCATGAATGACTATACAAAGCAGCTGCAGCACCGCTACCTGCATGTAAACCGTGTCGCGGACATCCCCATTTTAAAATGACGCTATACATTACGGGGCTCCCAGGGACAGTTAAGAGTTGGTCTCTCTCCGAGAATAATTATGAATTTAACAATGATTACTGCCTGATGACATTTTCCCAAATCTGCAAAGCTCACCGGAAGGACACAAACCGAGGACAATTTTTTCC